GCTCTCGCACACGCACACGCACTCGCACTCGCACACGCACACGCACCTGCACAATTCTGTATTCTGTGTGGTGATTTACACTGTATGTGTATTGGATTCGACTGAAATTTTTTAACCAACATTCTTGGGTTGCACACACACGTGACGTTGAATTAACGTTGACGTGACGTGACGTGACGTGTCGTTGACGTGACGTGCATATTCCTACACGCAAAGGGGTCGATCGGTGTACGGTTGACGGTAGGAAGTGACAACATAGTGTCGATGGCTTGGTTATATACAAGTACAATGTATTTACTATGTACAGTTAGATGAACAAGAAGTGTTTTGTGCCAGGTCAGCACATAGTGGTAGTGGTTATTGCCCAAGCTATACTAAGGGTGAGACCTTGTTATTTTTGTCTCTGGGCTAATCCTTATACATCCAAGGTCATCGGACACAGATTAAGTAATAAATATAAACAACAGTAATGATGAGAAGTGACATAGTTGCGTGGCTCGTCCTGGATGTCCACCAATGTAAAATACAATGAGGATTAAGAACTGGCACTAGCATAAGATAACTGAGATATAGGGACTATCTGATCTAAATGCTTGAAATGTAGGGACTATGTGATGTAAACAATTGAGATGTAGGGACTATGTGATGTAAACAATTGAGATTTAGGGACTATGTGATGTAAACAGTTGAGATGTAGGGACTATGTGATGTAAACAGTTGAGATATGAGATGTAGGGACTATGTGATGTAAGCAATTGCGATATAGGGACTATGTGATGTGAACAGTTGAGATATAGGGGACTATGTGATGTAAACAGTTGAGATATAGTTACTATGTGATGTGAACAGTTGAGATATAGGGACTATGTGATGTAAACAGTTAAGATATGAGATATAGGGACTATGTGATGTGAACAGTTGAGATGTAGGGGACATGTGATGTAAGCAGTTGAGATATAGGTACTATGTCATGTGAACAGTTGAGATATAAGGGACATGTGATGTAAACAGTTGAGATATAGGGACTATGTGATGTGAACAGTTGTGATATAGGGACTATGTGATGTAAACAGTTAAGATATGAGATATAGGGATTATGTGATGTAAGCAATTGAGATATAGGGACTATATGATGTGAACAGTTGAGATATAGGGACTATGTGATGTGAACAGTTGAGATATAGGGACTATATGATGTGAACAGTTGAGATATAGGGACTATGTGATGTGAACAGTTGATATATAGTGACTATGTGATGTGAACAGTTGAGATATAGGGACTATATGATGTGAACAGTTGAGATATAGTGACTATGTGATGTGAACAGTTGAAATATAGGGACTATGTGATGTAAACAGTTAAGATATGAGATATAGGGACTATATGATGTAAACAGTTGAGATATAGGGACTATGTGATGTAAACAGTTAAGATATAGGGACTATGTGATGTAAACAGTTAAGATATGAGATATAGGGACTATGTGATGTGAACAGTTGAGATATAGGGACTATATGATGTAAACAGTTGAGATATAGGGACTATGTGATGTAAACAGTTAAGATATAGGGACTATGTCATGTGAACAGTTGAGATATAGGGACTATATGATGTGAACAGTTGAGATATAGGGACTATGTCATGTGAACAGTTGAGATATAGGGACTATGTGATGTGAACAGTTGAGATATAGGGACTATGTCATGTGAACAGTTGAGATATAGGGACTATGTGAAGTGAACAGTTGAAATATAGGGACTATATGATGTGAACAGTTGAGATATAGGGACTATGTGAAGTGAACAGTTGAAATATAGGGACTATGTGATGTAAACAGTTAAGATATGAGATATAGGGATTATGTGATGTGAACAGTTGAGATATAGGGACTATGTGATGTAAACAGTTAAGATATGAGATATAGGGGACTATGTGATGTAAACAGTTGAGATATAGGGACTATGTGATGTGAACAGTTGAGATATAGGGACTATGTGATGTGAACAGTTGAGATATAGGGACTATATGATGTGAACAGTTGAGATATAGGGACTATATGATGTGAACAGTTGAGATATAGGGACTATGTCATGTGAACAGTTGAGATATAGGGACTATGTGATGTGAACAGTTGAGATATAGGGACTATATGATGTGAACAGTTGAGATATAGGGACTATGTGAAGTGAACAGTTGAAATATAGGGACTATATGATGTGAACAGTTGAGATATAGGGACTATGTGAAGTGAACAGTTGAAATATAGGGACTATGTGATGTAAACAGTTAAGATATGAGATATAGGGACTATGTGATGTAAACAGTTGAGATATAGGGACTATATGATGTGAACAGTTGAGATATAGGGACTATGTGAAGTGAACAGTTGAAATATAGGGACTATGTGATGTAAACAGTTAAGATATGAGATATAGGGGACTATGTGATGTAAACAGTTGAGATATAGGGACTATGTGATGTGAACAGTTGAGATATAGGGACTATGTGATGTGAACAGTTGAGATATAGGGACTATATGATGTGAACAGTTGAGATATAGGGACTATATGATGTGAACAGTTGAGATATAGGGACTATGTCATGTGAACAGTTGAGATATAGGGACTATGTGATGTGAACAGTTGAGATATAGGGACTATATGATGTGAACAGTTGAGATATAGGGACTATGTGAAGTGAACAGTTGAAATATAGGGACTATATGATGTGAACAGTTGAGATATAGGGACTATGTGAAGTGAACAGTTGAAATATAGGGACTATGTGATGTAAACAGTTAAGATATGAGATATAGGGATTATGTGATGTGAACAGTTGAGATATAGGGACTATGTGATGTAAACAGTTAAGATATGAGATATAGGGGACTATGTGATGTAAACAGTTGAGATATAGGGACTATGTGATGTGAACAGTTGAGATATAGGGACTATGTGATGTGAACAGTTGAGATATAGGGAACATGCTGTAAACAGTTAAAATATGAGATATAGGGACTATGTGATGTAAACAGTTAAGATATGAGATATAGGGGACATGTGATGTAAACAGTTGAGATATAGGGACTATGTGATGTGAACAGTTGAGATATAGGGACTATGTGATGTGAACAGTTGATATATAGGGACTATGTGATGTGAACAGTTGAGATATAGGGACTATGTGAAGTGAACAGTTGAGATACAGGGAACATGCTGTAAACAGTTAAAATATGAAATATAGGGAGTATGTCATGTAAACAGGAGAAGTATTAAGACATTAAGAGAAGTATGTAAACAGGTCAAACTCTTAAATGTTATCTTTAAGTTAAATAAAACAAAGTTGAGGAAAAAACATTAATTAAAATCATATGAAACATGTATATACTGCCACTGTCAAAATAATAATATATTAGCAACATTATTTAAATATAAGTAAATAAACGGCTTTTTTTATTGATAAAATGTTATCTCCGTCAATACTGACATATCTCTTACCCTTTTACACGTCCACTTAACCACATTTGAGATGTTGAGATGCTCCCTACTTCCTTGTCTGAGTTGTGGAGTATACACTGTCGCCATGTTGACCGACCTAATTCGTGATCTAGCCTTGATACACTCCCCTTGACTGTGTCCAGGTCCTGAAATAGAACAACTACCACCCTGAAACAACCTCTCTGGTGTCGATCTGCCCTTTAAAAGACTACAATCATCGGGCCTTGGGTGTGCTAAGGGACTCAAATCTTCTTTAGCCACCGCTATGAGTCATTCATGGCACTGGCTGTCTTCAAGTTTGAACTAGTCTGGTTCAGACAAACCATTGATCGATGACATGTAAAAAGACCCAAACGGTCTGGGGCGATGGTACAGACTTAGTCAGGTTTTGTTTTAAACATATTTTATTGACATATATGGTCAACGGGATTGGGCAAAAGTTATCCAACTTAGGTGTCCCTTTCCCTACTCTATATGTACAGACATTGATTATACAGTCATATATATACACATATACATACACACATACATATACATACGTATACAGAAACACATACATATACACATAATCATATATACACACAATCATACATACTCATACATACATACACATACTCATATACATATGCACATATTACATTTATAGTAACAAAGAGAAAGGTATTTACACAAGAACATAAACATAATGTTTGCAAGAATAACATAGACACACATTAGAATTACCAATATAAACACAATGTACTTGTATATTCACATTAATCCAAAATACATGCAAGACTACATATATAATTACACAATCATACATACACTTATATACATGTACATATATGCACACATACACACACTACATACATGCACATATACCCTTGTATACGCATGCATACATGTATATACATACATACACATATTTACACATATACACCAGTATATATACATACCCGTAAACATTAGGCTTACAGACAGAGACAGAGATACCCATGTATTCATATACATGCGTGCAGTTTATACACTAATGGCGTAATTAATGATAAGTGGTCGCAGAGCGATATTCTATATTTATGATAAAGGGTTACTCGAATCTATTAATCTATTAGTCTATCAGTCGACTTAGTCAGGTCACAACTGAGAACCCACCTTTGTCAAATGTCAGCTGTCATAATCCTCAGCCACACTGCATATTCTTGAATATTGCTATGGCGCCTGAAAACATATTCACTCTCTCATTTTCCATTATACAATTAGCGTTAATTCAAGCCTCTTCATGAATAAGAATGTGATAACATACATATCAAAGTGATATTCAAATGTTTAACATTCACAGAACTGTTTTATTAAAATCAATAAAACCAAATATAAACTGTAAGGATTAATAGTCATGTGGATAAAATAAACTCGGTGCACTGACAAAAAACAGCTATGCATAAACTCAGTATGACCTCAAGTTGGTCATGTATTGACAGGTACACACAAACGCACGACTCTCACACATTTGAATTTCAATCCCATTTTCTGCGCAGCACACGGACGCGGACCTTCACATTTGGGTAAGATAGGTTGTTTTATGCACAGGTATACAACAGAAGTTGAATTACCCCGCCCTCCCCATACACCACAATTGATGTACAGATCAATAACCCGGATACTTCAATACAGCGATTCCTACCCGCCATCGAGAGTGACTGGGACGGCTAACAACCGTGACCTTGCACTGACGTCACGGCCCGGCGGGTATTGAGGCCTCACAACACGAACACACCCTGTTTCAGGCTGAGCGCGCACCGAACTCGGGGCAGAGAGATTCGCCGCCATAACAAAGAATCCGGATTTGCTATCGGCTGTGGGATGGCTGTCGTGAGTATTGTTCGTGTATATTATCAAACCCTGATTTCAGATAAAACTGCTGCTGTGACGCGACGAGAAGGGAGACATGTTGAACACGATTACACGTACATATAAATAGGAGACCCTAGATCGGTCTATGGTCTCAGATAGACCCGAAACCTTGGATTTTTACGTAGTTTGGAAAACAGAGAACCCACCTTTTCTGTGAAGCATATACAAACACTTGGCGATATATGACTCTTCCCTATGTTTGAAAATAGAGTCCAGCTTTTCTATGTAGCATATACTAGCAGTAGCTCATCTATGACTCTATAATCAACAAACAATGTCAATAGTCGTCCTTATCGACCTAACTCACGTTTAGGTTAAGAAACCCCTTTCAACCCCTGTATTTATATAGTCTATGGTGTCGTTTTGTGTAAAGTAAATGTTAGTTTTAAGAGGGACATTGTCCTCTTCACGACATATATATCGACAATACGTACATACTTATGGCTACCTCGCTAGGAATATTCGGGGTCGTGAATATTGCTACACGCACTGTAAATAACCTGTTATAAGAGTCGTGTTACTTATATTCATAGAGGGAGGTGAAGTATTCGTCCTGACAAAGACGTGATTTGGAATGACCTGACATTGTATGAGTCGATAAATCTGATTATGTGTTATGAGGGGACCACGCATAAGGCGTTGTCTAAGCTATATTAAGTAAATACAGTTCAGGTAATCTATATAAGTAGTGTATGAGTAGCATAGACCTTCGGGCTATTGAGAGAGGGGGTAGAAGGCGTGAGAAATCAGTTTCAGATATTTTACGCAGTATTCAGGTAACGTGGCCCATAGCTCAGTTTGTCTTGTATATATGAGAGACACGTGGAGACAAACTGCCCTATGGGAGACACATATGTCAGGGAAACTGCACATTGACAATGGGCCATGTGTATGACAGATATATGTGTCAGATAAACTGTACTATGGGTCATATGTATGAGAGACACATATGTTAGACAAACTGCACAAGGACAATGGGTCATGTGTATGACAGATATATATGTCCGATAAACTGTACAATGAGTCATATGTATGAGAGACATATATGTCAGATAAACTGTACAATCGGTCATATATATGAGAGACACATATGTTATACAAACTGCACAAGGACAATGGGTCATATGTATGACAGATATATATGTCAGATAAACTGTAAATCGGTCATATATATGAGAAACACATATGTTATACAAACTGCACAAGGACAATGGGTCATATGTATGACAGATATATATGTCAGATAAACTGTACAATGGGCCACATGTATGAGAGACACATGTTAAACAAACTGCACATGGACAATGAGTCATGTGTATGACAGATATATATGTCAGATAAACTGTAAATCGGTCATATATATGAGAAACACATATGTTATACAAACTGCACAAGGACAATGGGTCATATGTATGACAGATATATATGTCAGATAAACTGTACAATGGGCCACATGTATGAGAGACACATGTTAAACAAACTGCACATGGACAATGGGTCATGTGTATGACAGATATATATGTCAGATAAACTAAATCGGTCATATATATGAGAGACATATATGTTATACAAACTGCACAAGGACAATGGGTCATATGTATGACAGATATATATGTCAGATAAACTGTACAGTCGGTCTGATATATAAGAGAGACACATATGTTATACAAACTACACAAGGAAAATGGGTCATATATATGACAGATATATATGTCAGATAAACTGTACAATGGGTCATATGTTTGAGAGACACATATGTTATAGAAACTGCACAAGGACAATTGGTCATATGTATGACAGATATATATGTCAGATAAACTGTACAATCGGTCATATGTATGAGAAACATATGTGTCAGATAAACTGTACAATAGGCCACATGTATGAGAGATACATATGTTATACAAACTGCACAAGGACAATGGGTCATGTGTATGACAGATATATATGTCAGATAAACTGTACAATGGGTCATTTGTATGAGAGACATATGTCAGATAAACTGTACAATGGGCCACATGTATGAGAGACACATGTTAAACAAACTGTACCATGGGTCATTTGTATGAGAGATACAAATGTCAGACAGACCGTCCTTTGGGTCATATGTATGAAACACACATATATGTCAGACAAACTGCACTATCAGCCATATGTATGACATAAATATATGTAAAACACACAGTACTATGGGCCACATAGCCTGAACTGTTAAATAAAATGACATAAGTTTCTTTATATATCAAGACAAAGACGTATATAAATATATATATACATACAAAGACATTATCATCTACCATGGCACAATTTTTAACCGTTTCCTTGTGTAAGGACAGTGCGATTGTACAAGGTTGTATTTTAATGTTGTGACTGAGGGGGCTAGGTGTACTGTAGATGGCTGCCTCGCCTGGGGCTCCTACAGCCCGCGGCCTCAGCTGGGTGCATGTAGATAACAAGTAGTCAAGATGTTCTCTGTCTGCGTGTCAGACAATGCTGGCAGGTGAAACGAGGACTGAAGTCATCACGACTAGACACGACGCCATGGGAGTGTTTATCTTGGAGAATAAACAAATAAAGAGAGAACTGCAGACCCGGAGTGATATACAATTGATACGTAGAGGTAGCTGATAGAGACGAATAAACATGGACATACGGACACACAAACACATAAACAATTAGGGAGACGAAAAGAAGGACATATAGCTAGGCAGATGGATAGACAGAAAGACGCACATGTGTAGAGACAGAAAGACGGATAGACAAATAAATAGATAAATAAATAGACGGATGGTAGATGGACATAGATGCGAGATAGACATACTAATAGATAGGCACAAAGATAGAGAGGGACAGATAGATATAGAGATAAATAGATAGACTGATGGATTGAGTTGTAAGAAGACATACATGAATACGGATAGATAGATGGACAGAGAAAGAGGAAGACGGATGAAAGGATAGAGCAACACGGATGGACTGATAGATGCATAAATAGATGGAGAGTGGTTAATTGATGATAGACAGTTGGGAGAAATGTACATATGTAGCATATACCATATATTTACCACGATTACTATAACTACTATTACATCTACTACTACTACTACTACTACTACTACTACTATCAGTATTACTCTAATTGCCACTACTTTACAGCCTCTGTTATTACATCTACAACAACTACTTCTACTACTACACTACTACTACTACTACACTAATACTACACTAATACTACTACTACGCTACTAATACTACTAATACTACCTATTACTGCTACTACCTACTATTACTATCAGTTCTACTCCTACTTCTACTATTACAATCAGTACTACTACTGCTTCTGCTACTATCAGTACCTCTACTAATACTGCTACTGTTGTCAGTATTTCTGCAATTACTACTACTACTGAGTACAACTGCTGCTGATGCTACTACTACCTAGGACTATCACTACTGTCAGTTCTATTCCTACTACAGCTCCGTCTACAGATACTTCTACTGCTACTATCAGTCAGAGACCATATACCGATATATGGTCTCTGCATCAGTGCTCCTCCTACTACTATCAGTATTACTGCAAGTACCACTTCTTTACTGCTGTTGCTGCTGCTGCAGCTGCTACCGGTACTACTGTTACCCCTACTACTGCTACTACAACCCTTTCGGGGCGGTCGGGTAGTCTTGTGGTTAAAGCGTTCGCTCGTCACGCCGAGCACCCGGGTTCGATTTCCGACATGGGTACAATGTGTGAAGCCCATTTCTGGTGTCCCCCGCCGTGATATTGTTGGAATACTGCTAAAAGCGGCGTAAAACCATACTCACTCACTCACTCATTACACTCAGCAATTGTACATATGGTTATACGGTGGGGATCTTAACTGTGGGGATTTTAGCCCCACCATTTGTACAATAGTGAAAACAACCCTTTTGGTCAGAGATCCTGAGCATACCCTCCTGTTTCAGATGATGGACCCAACTGACGACGTGTCGGTGGAACTAGAGTGCAGCATCTGTCTGGAGGTGTACAGGGACCCCAAGACACTCCCGTGCATCCACTCCTTCTGCCGGGTATGCATCATCAGACATGTCGTCTGCCAGGCTCAGGTCTGTAAGCGGGAGAAGAGATTCCACTGCCCTCTGTGTCGCAACCCAGTCTACATCCCCAGACCTGATGCCCCGGTAGAGAAGTGGGCAGATCAGTTGCCCAACAACACCCAGATCCCCGATCTCATCGCTAGTTTGATGTGCAAGCATCACCCGAAGATGATAGCAAGCTACTATTGCAAGAAGTGCAAGTGCGTGACGTGTGATGTGTGTCGTAAGGAAAGACACCCGTTATGTGAAGACGATTCGTTCTGCCCCTTGAAAGACATAGCCTCAAAGAAGAAGAGTGACATGACAGGACGACAGCAGCAGATTGACGTGAAGTACAAACACATGTCGGACAACGTGGACCTGATCAAGTCTGTTGCCTCGGAGTTGCCTGGTGCGGAGGCCTTGTTGGTTAAAAGAATCGAAGACCAGGCGAGATCCCATGTTCAAAGTGTACTTAATGCAAAACGGAATTTGCTGAGTATGTTAGAGGCGTCTGTGGACCAACAGCTCGCTCTGCTCAAACACGCAAAGAACCCAGTAGACGAAGCGGCGGATGTGTTAAACCATTATAAATCTGAAGCTGACCACGTCATGAAAACATCAACAGGGTTAGACTATGTTGAATCTGTTGACCTTGTGAAGGCAAGACACCGAGAAGGTCTGGAAATGATTCAAAATCTTCATAGCAAGTGTCGGCCACCCACCGTCACCTTCGTCGAGAACGAATCAGTTTCGACCAGTATCGGAGAGCTGGTGTCCCCTGTGCTGTGTTCAAGTCCTTTCCTCGCGAACGACGTCTTTCTGGCTACACCGCCTTCTTCTCAGTTCCAGTGGTCTGACCTACATGTTTCAACATATGAATCAATCCCAAGATCGTCACCACCAAATGGTCAGAATCCTCAAACTCCTGTCCAGCCTTCGTCACCTAAAGGGAAACAACCCTCGTCGTCATCACAAAAGTTGTCTCCCATGAAGTCCTATCTAAAAGCCATGGCAAAACGCGGGTCGAGGGCGTTTCGTAGAAGTAGTTCGGATTCTACCCCTTAACGTCCGTTCTTCCTCATAAGCAGGGCATTCCTGACGAGACGGTATCAACCAACTACATTATTGAACAATGTGTTTGTTTGTATCAATTTGCAATTAACAAGATAAACAAAATATGGTTGAATTACAGATGTTTTGTTCATCTTGTAGTGTGGTTTTCCGTGTTGAATCTGTGATCTATGTACAGTTTTTATTCCTTATTGGATCTTCTGGAACATATGGACCATATCAAGCATCGTCTCCATCCTTCATTACATGTGGGACCTTCCGATATATGCCTAATACATGTGGATCTGTTTGATCACATATTGAGGATGATGAAACTTAAATAGGAAACATCATCTGACATCATCTGGATACAGTTCAGGACATTTCTTCATTACATGTGGGAGTTTCACACAGTTGCCAAAACGTGACATTCGCATGTATGATTATTAAATGTGTATCTTTTTTATCAAATATTGAGGACAAAGTGATTTAATTATGAAACATCATCTGGATACAGTTCGGGACATTTCTTCATTACATTGGTGGAGTTTAACAACTGTTGTCAATTCGTGACAAATCTGATCTATGAGCATGAATTATGGCAGAGTAATGTTTCCATAGTATTGTCACATTAGGGTTTCCAATGCATCACGGTGCAGTGGCAGTATTATTTTGTGATATATGTCTACGATGGAAGGTTGTAGACGATAAAATCTTTCACTGTTGTCAAGTGTTGTCATGTTTATTATTAATTAATCGTTGTTATGACAGTTTGTTTTCTGTTTCATAGACATATCAGCCAGACGAATAACCTCGGTCTCTATGACTCTTATCTATCTGCTGTTAAATGTCGTAGTACAGGGGGCACGGGTGGCCCAGTCGTCTAACGCGCCGCGATTCGCTGTGCAGAGTTGCGTCCCTTGGGCACGCCAGAAACCTATGATTGTGGGTTCGAATCCCGGTTCGCCCCGATTGTGTTTCTAGGTTTGTCAGCACCATACCCGTGCTCGTGGGTTTCATCGAAGCGGTAAACGTCTAAGACCTGCATCGCTTCGGGCTTTCCTCCCACATTAAGCTGACACGCCGTGATATAACTGTAATACTGTTAAAAGCGACGTTAAACCCAACTCACTCACTCACTCGTAGTACAAACACGTTTACTAAACCCGATCCGTTCAAACAAAAGATGTTAACACATACTGGTCAACAATAATCATCGTTATATATGTGCAAGCAGATCCCAATAATATATCGTGTTAAATAACTATTACCGGCCATAAATATAGTTTATAAATATATACATTTGACGATGATTTTTTATTGTTTAGGGCGGGCTTTCCTAACAAAATAATATTCGAGTAATAATGATAAAACTGTATTAATTATAATATTATTTTAGTATAACTATTTGAATATCCAAATGCAATAGTTTCATACTGGTGAAATCTAATGAGAGAGAACCCACTCGTCCGTTGGTAGATGACCAAACGGTGGATACACGAATGCGAACATACACCCGAAACACAAGTGTCAAGACTTGTGCTGTCACCCTGGGCAAGAGAGCCTCTGTTCACCCAGGTGGGAATCAGTCATCATCACAGTCATCACCAATCATCACCATCATCATCATCATCATCACAGTCATCATCAGTCATCAATCATCGTCATCATCATCACAGTCATCATCAGTCATCATCAATCATCAATCATCATCATCATCACAGTCATCATCAGTCATCATCAAACATCATCATCATCACAGTCATCATCAGTCATCATCAAACATCATCATCATCACAGTCATCATCAGCCATCATCAATCATCATCATCATCACTGTCATCATCAGTCATCATCAATCATCATCATCATCATCATCATCACAGTCATCATCATGACCGTGAAAAGTTCTTCATCATCAAACGTTATATTTAGACACTGGATCTATCAGTGTAATCTAGCGTTACAGGAAGTCATTGAAACTAACACGGTTACTTAACTTACGACCAAGTGTATAAGTAGCCCAGGTTGGCATGGCAACATCAATGTCAACTCCGGCTACATCTGGTAGTCAACTTCAACAGCTGGTTAATATCTACCCCTGACCTACTTTCAGATGTGACACGATCACACGCAGTCACCCGTGTGTCTGTACAGATACTATTTTTTTCTTCATAGCTCTTCATATGAGTCACGACCAGCGCTTGCTAGCATGCCCTTAAGACACAGCAATACAAAGGAATGTTATTTATTTTATTTATTTTATGCCCATAACGTATACTGTTTTCAACCAGACGGCCTGAGGTTGGTGATTCGACAAAGGATTCCATCTCTAAACCTGACAGTAAATACATGCATTGTATTGTGAAGATTTAGTGGGTTGTATACCTTTTGTGTCTATTCTCAGTTGTTGTGGTGGGCTTGGCGAGGTGTGAATATAGTTCGAAGCACTGCTGGACGAAAATTCGTATAGCCTGCCTTCTTCCCCGCTTGTAATTACGTTATACATGTCCAGGTACCCCCCCACCCCCACCCCCGACCCCCCCCCCCCCCCCCCCCCCCCCCCCCCCACCCCATTTATTATCAGCGAGCTATATAAGTTACCAAATTCCATCCTGTCGAAACAAAACTTTAAGAATATTAACGTTATATCTGACGTGAGACACCCAGAATATGGGTTGTACATACCTAGCTCCTTTAATGTATCAATCTCCAAATAAATATACAGTAAAGTACGGTTATAACGAACTCAAAGGGACTACTAATTGTAGTTCGTTATAACCTAGTTCGTTATAAGCACATATACAGCATAACTACAGCAAAAAGTCGGGACCAAAAAAGTAAGTTCGTTATATCCGTAAGTTCGTTATAAGCGTGTTCGTTATAACCGTGGTTCACTGTATTTAATCCGTAAATATTAATGTGTTAAAGCTCTTAACATATATTTCCACTTATATTACATGCAACGAACTTAAGAAATGATAGGACAGATTAATGTGAACAATTTAAAATGTTTTCTGCACATCTGCTATCCACAAATATACCACTCAAAGAGTTTAAGAACATTATTATTCTTTCATATTACTATAGTTTGTTTGTTTGTTGTTTAAAGCCGAACTCAGATATATATTTTAGCTATATGATGGCGGAATGTAAATAATTGAGCCTGGACCAGACAATCCAGTTATTGACATCATGAGCATTGATCCACACAATTTGGATTCGATGACATCCATCAACTTTTTCTGTCCATCAACATGTCTTATCTCAATTATGAACGGATCGCATAATCAGTCATTTCTTTGGAGCAGCATATTTGTGGTAGCCTGTGACTAGTCTGTTTTTCTTTGAGATTCCGTGTCATAGATGTACCGTAGAGCAGGCCAGGCATGCAGACACCTGGAGTCCACTGAATGATTGCATTCGATTCATCACGTTTAAGTCTCGCATAAGGCTGTCAACACGTACATACAACAGGCTTTGATAGCAACAAGTCTATCTGATAACATGCAGCATAGCAAGAACATTAGACTGACACCTAGTCTCTGAAATAGAAATGATTTCACGGAACAAAAAAATTTGTTAAATTATCTTGATATAATATAATAAAAAGGAGCCTAGAGAAACTGCAATTATCTAGACTTACCAACTTATATAGACTTGCATGGGATGTTGTGGATATTTTTGTATCAGGGTCTGTGTGACAGACAAGAACATTGAGTGATATACACGCCAGAGCTGGGTCTTACATGTACATGTCGATCTGTTCAGGGCAGTGATGTGTCCAGGGAGAGTGATCTGTTCAAGGGGAGTGATCTGTTCAAGGGGAATGGTCTGTTCAGGGAGACTGATCTGTTCAAGGGGAGTGATCTGTTCAAGGGGAGTGATCTGTTCAAGAGGAGTGATCTGTTCAAGGGGAGTGGTCTGTTCAGGGAGAGTGATCTGTTCAAGGGGAGTGTTCTGTTCAGGGAGAGTGATCTGTTCAAGGGGAGTGATCTGTTCAAGGGGAGTGATGTGTCCAGGGAGACTGGTCTGTTCAAGGGGAGTGATCTGTTCAAGGGGAGTGATCTGTTCAAGGGGAGTGATCTGTTCAAGGGGAGTGTTCTGTTCAGGGAGAGTGATCTGTTCAAGGGGAGTGATCTGTTCAAGGGGAATGGTCTGTTCAAGGGGAGTGATCTGTTCAAGGGAAGTGATCTGTTCAGGGAGAGTGATCTGTTCAAGAGGAGTGATCTGTTCAAGGGGAGTGGTCTGTTCAGGGAGACTGGTCTGTTCAAGGGGAGTGATCTGTTCAAGGGGAGTGATCTGTTCAAGGGGAGTGATCTGTTCAAGGGGAGTGGTCTGTTCAGGGAGAGTGATCTGTTCAAGGGGAGTGATCTGTTCAAGGGGAGTGTTCTGTTCAGGGAGAGTGATCTGTTCAAGGGGAGTGATCTGTTCAAGGGGAGTGTTCTGTTCAGGGAGAGTGATCTGTTCAAGGGGAGTGATCTGTTCAAGGGGAGTGGTCTGTTCAGGGAGAGTGATCTGTTCAAGGGGAGTGATCTGTTCAAGGGGAGTGATCTGTTCAAGAGGAGTGATCTGTTCAAGGGGAGTGGTCTGTTCAGGGAGAGTGATCTGTTCAAGGGGAGTGATCTGTTCAAGGGGAGTGTTCTGTTCAGGGAGAGTGATCTGTTCAAGGGGAGTGATCTGTTCAAGGGGAGTGTTCTGTTCAGGGAGTGTGATCTGTTCAAGGGGAGTGATCTGTTCAAGGGGAGTGATCCGTTATAGGGAGTGATCTGTTCAAGGGGAGCGATCTGTTCGAGGGGAACGATCTGTTCAAGGGTAGATGAGGTTAAAGTGTTCGCTTGTCGATTAAAACACGGTCGAATTCTCCACATGTGTACAATTCTTTTGTTAAAAGCGCCGTTAATCACTACAAATTCACTATGTGCTTGCTGAACCGAAGCGAATGATTCCCTTCAGAAATGAACATATTGGTTGTATAAGTACTGCAACATTCTCACTGTTTACGTTCACTGTATACCATTCAATCCATATCAACGACTCCTCACTGTATATAAGGAAAGAAGAAGAAGAAGTCAGAAGAAGGAGACATGGTATCAAATATTAAATACAGAACAATTAGGACTTATATAAAACTAAACGATAACAAATCATTTAAAAAAAGCATAGGGCAACATATACATTCTCATGTATATCATACTTTAACATTTGTTTAAAAGGAAGATGCTATCTGGAATAAATGATGTACAAGCTTTTCTAGTTTCACAACAGGAGCTTGACAGCGGCGGCCTGAAGAAAACGCTAGTATTCAGGATGTGAGAAAACAGTTGGATCGGTAATGACTCAACAGTACTATCTATAGCCACGACTCGGGCTTGCCTTTGTTGAAAAAGAACAAGGATGGGGCCAATTTACAGTCCCATAGTGTAAAAATTGACTTGAACCATCAACATTCCAGTTTGTCTTCAAACTCAACTCTTGTTAAGTGTCTCAGGTCAGTAGTTAATGGTTATCCCAATAATTAATAAAACCTTTAAACACGTTGTTTCATCTCACACACGGAACTAATTAAAGCGTGTTGACCTGGCATGGAAATGGGCAGACATGGTTTGTCTTTTCAATTGTGAACCCGTGAAGATTCGGAGTAGAATAGGTCTTCACTGACGCATGCTTGCCGTAAACTGCGACTATGCTTGTCGTAAAAGGCGACTAACGGGATCGGGTGGTCA